TTGCAGGGTGAGTGGGAAACAAAATTAATAAACGAAAGAAAAACAAACACTACAAGCATAAAGATGAACGAACAGTAGACCTGCCCGGGCAACCAGACAATTCAGCACCGATATTGACAGCACATACTAGATTATGAAATTGGATACGTTTCTTAGATGGGGGGCAGGTGAGCCCAAAAGGAATTCTTACGTGAAATTCCATACCCAAGGAAAAGTACAGTAGCTAGCAGACAAACCTTCAACTACGACTGTTAACTAAGTGCTCAATGTTGAAAAAAGGTGTATACATGAAAAGATAAGGCGAAAGGGGGAGGGTGAGCCAGGGCCACCACACCTGCGCCCTGTTATTGTCACAGGTGACTGAGGTACGTGCTCAGTCATAGCCTGGGAATGTTTCCAGAGACAATAGAATGGGTACGTTCGAAGGTGTCAAAACCAACCTCTCCGGAAAATGATATCCAGTTACTGTCACAGTGTGAGTATCGACTGTCGTCCGATAAGAGGACACAAACACACACACGCGCACACACACCTCTGTCAAAAGTCAACCAAGCTTGAATTGAAAAAAAAACAACTAGTCGAACACTGACCGGCAGTTTGCGGAACCACCCCCCCGCACTTAGAAGATGGAGGACTATGAGAGAGAAAGAAAATAACTCTAGAGAGTAGCTCCAGGAAAATGTAAGGAAGCGGCGTACATCACTGTGCTGGTTGAGGGAGAGACCTCGCGACAACTGGGTCAACCCAAATAGAGGACACGTCACAAAGGAGGGACAGAGTTTTTAGTCTTTAGGCGGACTCAGTCACCAAATAAACTGACCAAAATAAACATGCACAGTCCTACAGTGACCACGAGCTTTAACAGCAAGTTAGTGTATTCTCACATGAAGCGAGTAGAACGCGAGTCGACTGACCGGAGGCTGAAATCAGGCTTCAAATCTTGGTGTGCACTGACGCAGTCAAGAACCCAGGTGTTGAAGAGCCGAATTTCAGAACGATTCAGAGTTATTTATGTGCTTAAGCGCCTATCGTTAAACCCGCTGAATGCGGGCAGTGAAAATCGGA